GCTGACTAAGTGTCTGGCCCTGGGGAACTGAATACCCACTGGGAGGACCCTGAATAGCTGGTGAGCGGTAGGAACTCCCTAGTATAGCACTGAGATAAGGTCGCACTACAGCACCTCGAGGAGGTGGTGGTGCTGGAAATGGGGGTCTGCTGGACTGCCCCCTCACAAACTGACCTCTGCCCCCGGACGGAGCACCTTTGAACTCTCCAGAGTACCTGAACCGCTTATCTCTCATAATCTGCTCTCGGCTCCGCTGATGAACACCCTCAATCCTCCGGGCTATCTCCACAACTTGCTCATAAGAAGTACCCATCTCAACCTCTCGAGCCATAATGGCCTGAATACCAGTATGTAAACCGGATACAAACCTCCGCACTCTCTCCGCCTCAGTAGGGAGTATCATAAGTGCATGGCAAGATAATTCAGAAAACCTCGCCTCATAATCAGTTACTGACATGTGACCCTGCTGGAGCTGCTCAAACTGAAACCGCAACTCTTCCCTCTGGGAGGGTGGAATATACCTGTCCAGGAAGATATGGGTGAACCTGTCCCAAGTTATGGGAGGAGAATTTGTTGGTCTGCCAAGAACATAAGACTGCCACCATCTACGGGCTCTGCCCTCTAGCTGAAAAGTAGCAAAGTCTACCCCATAAGACTCCAATATCCTCATGTTGTACAGTCTATCCTTGCATCGATCAATGAAGTCTTGTGGATCCTCATGTCGCTCACCCCCAAAGACAGGAGGATATAGTCTAGTCCATCTGTCTAATAATTTCTGAGGATCGGCGGCTACAGCTGGCCTGGGCTCAGGTGTAGCTATTGCCACTGGCTGGGCTCCACCCACGGGTAGTACACCCTGGGTCTTATATACAGTAATTGCCTGTCCATGAGCCTGTACAGTAGGGGTCTGTGCTCCCCCGCCCGCCTGAGATGTGGCCGGGTCTGCCAAAAATAAACTGGCCTGAGTCATATTGTCCATGAACCGCAGCATACGACCCATGACATTCTGAAATCCTAGTGCAGATGTGAAATCCATCGGAACTGGCTCTGCCACAGGCACCTTACCCTACTCCTCTATAATGGGATTTTCTGCTGGACCGACTGGCGGCATAACTGGCACAGTCCTGGGACGTCCTCGCCCTCTACCATGGGCTGGAGCCCTTCCTCAGCCTCTGCCTCTAGCAGCTGGGGGAGTAGCTCTTCCCTGGTCTGGAACCTCGTTCGAACGCGTTCTCACTATCTGAGAGAGAATAAGAGAAGGATATTTAGAACTACATCAATTGCACGATGGAATATGAAGAAAAGAAGTTTCCTAACCCCTATAGCCTCTCGAAGATAAGTACAAACGTCTTCGTACCGATCCGCAAGACTCTATTAGGTATGCTAATAACTTGTGAGACCTACGTGAACCTAGTGCTCTGATACCATGTTGTCACGACCCAATTTCACCTATAGGTCGTGATGGCGCCCAACACTACAGCTAGGTAAGCCAACTCAATAAATTAAGAATATATTGACAAAATTTAAAATCAAGAAAAATAATAAAATCCAAATTCTACCATTTTGTGTGCCAAGACCTGGTGTCACAAGTGTATGAGCATCTAGTAGATTATACAAAACCTCAAATACTGTCTGAGATAAAATAGACAGAATGAAAAAAATACAAAGAGAGACACTAGTAGCTACAGAACGGATCATAGAAACAGCTCACCACTATGCCCCTGGATAACGTGGGTATAAAATGATAGGTCCCCCACTAGTACTTGCCTCAGTTCCTACACAAAAAGTGCAGCAAGTGTAGTATGAGTACGAAAATAACGCGTACCCAGTAAGTATCAAGCCTAATCTCGAAGTGGTAGAGACGAGATGGCCGACTTTGACACTCACTATGGGTCAATAATAATAATTTAAAATACAACTAGGATATTTAAATCAGCATGATTTATAGAATTTAAAATACTTTATTAAATCAGCGGAAATAATCAAATTCCTTCAATTCAAATAATTTTTAATTTATCAATTAAGTATCATTTACAGGAATAACAATTAATTCTTTAACAAGCAAGAATAATAATTCATTAAATTCCAAGAATTTTTCAATTTATCAATTAGCTTTGCAAGCTGAAATAAGCTATTAAAGTATCGTGTAATTATTATTATTATTAAGCACGATTTCTGACGAGGACGTACGGCCCGATCCAGAGTGTCGTGTACACTGTCGAGGGACGTGCGGTGCGATCCATAGATCCATCTATCCTGCCAAGGCGTTCGGCCCGCTGCACAAGAAAGGAGGACATTTTTATATGTACCTCCGGAAGGAGAGTATATTTATTATGAGATAAATTCGGGAAGAGAATAATTTCTTTGAATAATTAATTGATTTAAACAGAAAATCAAACATATGAGATTTTCATCCTTTAATAACTTTATCTAACAATTCACAATATATTTATATATATTAATTAATATTAATTAATCAAGAAATATAATTTACACAAGTAATTCATGCTTTGAGTCCTAAACTACCCGAACTTTAGCATTTATAGTAGCTACGCACGGACTCTCGTCACCTCGTGCATACGTAGCCCCCGCAATTAGCAACAATTATTTAATTTAATCCCTATGGGGTAATTTTCCCTTCACAAGATTAGACGAGAGACTTACCTCATCTCAAAGTCCACTTTCCGATTATCGCGTCGCGTAAAATTCTCGATTCAATGCCGAAAAAATCCGAAACTATCCAAAAGTTATATAAAATAATTAATATATGTTCAATAATTCAAAATTCATCTATTAATTAAATTACTCTATCCAAAATAGTAAAATTTTTAAAATTTACCCGAGGCCCATGTGCCCGGATTCCGAAAATTTTCGGAAGAAAACGTTACACAAAATCTCAAGAACTCAAATATATAATTTCTACCCAATTCCATAACTATTTTCGTGGTTAAAATCTCATTTTTATAAAAATCTAGGTTTTTCACCTAAACCCTTGATTTCTAAGATTTACTAGTTATAATCTACCCATAATCTAGGTATTTAACTCAAAGGGTGTAGAATTAATTTACCTCAAAGTTGTTAGTTGAAATCTCCTCTCAAAAAGCTCTAAAATCGCCCGAGTATGGAAGAAAATTGGCAAAAATGGTGAATTCCCGTTCTTTTAAGCTTTCTACCAAATAGGTCTTTCATACCTGTGGAAGTTGGAACGCACCTGCGGAAAAATCCTCGCAGGTGCGAGTTTCACTTGCCTGGCCAATTCTCGCATTTGCGCACAAAGCTTCGCACCTGCGCGTTCGCAAGTGCGCAAATCGTCCGCATCTGCGGTGGATTGCCCCCTTCCCTTTTCCGCTTCTGCGCTCAAAATCTCGCATATGCGAGTCCCGCTCCTGCGAGCTTCTGTTGCATCTGCGACTGGCCAAGCGCAGGTGCGATTCTGACAGTAGCTGGGAGTTTCAGTTTTGGCTCCCAACTTCCAACTTGGTCCGAGCTTCGTCCGATTGACACTCGGAGTCTCCGGGACCCCGTCCGAATATACCAACAGGTTTGAAATCACAAAACGGACTCGCTCGAACTCTTGCAACGCCTAAAACAACATCAAATCTAAGAATCATACCCTAAACCAAATTGATTCAAACTTAAGAATTTCAAGTTCTTCAATTTACTTCCAATGCGCCAAAATATACTTAAACTACTCGGAATGACACGAAATTTTGCATGCAAGTCTTAAATCACTATACGGAACTATTCCCAAACTCGGAATTCCAAACGGACTTCAATTACTCAAAATCCTACTCCAAACCAAATTTAAAGAAGTTTAAACCTTCAAATAGTTAATTTTTACTATTAAGCGTCAAAACGCTCCCGGGTTATCCAAAACCCTATTCAGACATACGCTCAAGTCCAAAATCATCATACGAACCTATTGGAACCGTCAAATCCCGATTCCGGGATCGTTTTCTCAAAATGTTGACCGAAGTCATACTTGTTCATTTAAAGCTAACTTAAGGAACCAAGTGTTCCGATTTCAACCCAAACGCTTCCAAATCCCGAATCAACCATCCCCGCAAGTCATAAATTAATAAAAGTATATTCGAAAATTTTTATTTTAGGGAACGAATTTCTAAAAGTTAAAATGACCGGTTGGGTCATTACATTAAAGATATAGAATGTTGCAAGAGATAGCCTCTCTTTGTTTGAGTTAACAACTTCTCTGTGCTCAATGCTCCTATAAACACCATTGATCACTATCTGCCAAATCAATTTACACACTTCCAAGAAAATTTAGAAGTTTGAATATCTGAAGTAAGAGATGACAGGGAAAATAAAAGCAAGACTTAACATATAACAAGGAAAATCTTATTTATCTCCATCATATCGCCCACGTTGACAATCAAAGCATTTGGGAGGGGTTTTACAGGAACCCAAATACCGTCTTTTCGAACTTGGAGACCTTCAGTTTCATTAAGCTGGAGAAGGATGGTGAGGGCATCAGCATCAGAATGAGGACTTAAGCCAATGGTTTTGTGTGGCTCAGGGCAAGGAGGATAATAATTCATCCTTATTGACTGCATACCATCTGTGAACAGATCTTTCATTTCCTTTTCATCCATCTTTAAAGCCTTTGCCAATTGACAAAGGATGCTTATTGCTACGCTCTTGAATTCTTGGCAGTGTGCTTCCATGATTTCCCTGCATTTCCAAAATATCCAATCATATCATACAAACTGTTGGTGTTATATATGTGCATTTTAATATTAAAATTATAATACTAAAGTGTATTATTTCTTGTGAGGCAGTGGTTATAAATGGGCAAGAAAGTGATCATTACTTTGGTCGTGTAACTCATGAAACCACTAATACCATGATCTACCACTAATTACCCATAAAAGATTAAATTTTGTAACCACCAACCATGTTCTACGATTTTATTATCCAATTACTTTATTAATTATTATATGAAAGAAATTGTACACCTATAAATAGTGGTGTTGCGTCCTTGTGTTTGGTATGGGAAAATATTATATTGTAGTGTGCATGAAAAAAGTGAAATTGGTGCAGTGAAAAGGAGAGTTAAGAGAAGTAGAAAATCTAAGTCTCCAACTTATTCTCTACAAAAAAGAATATTATTTTGTTGAAGGAAGGTGTTCATTTTGGTAGAGGTTTGGACTCAACAACTTGTCCAGAGTTTGTTCAAGTCATACAACGTTGTCGGACTGTTATATCCTGGAGGGGACAAGTCAAGAATATTACTGTTGGACTGGTGAAGATACTACCGTAGTTGGCTTGAATCTCCTTAAAGAGAGCGAGATATCCGCGTCTCAGCCTAAAGAATATTTATTTATTTATTTATTTTTCTTCATCTTATTTTTTAACTGTAATTACTTGTAATTTCACCAATACAAACATTGAAAGAGAGGAAGAGAGTGAAGATCAGGGCACAAGTTAGAATATACATCTAAGCTTAAGCTACATAAGTAAAACCTCTCTAGAGCAACATTGTTTGTTCCGATATTTTCAGGCTTTTATAGTGAATGATTGCTATATACCTATAATGGCATTTGACGTTTAAACATTTTCAGGTTGTTATAGATAAAAATTATTTTAAAAATTAATCTTTTATTCCTTTTTAATGTTATATATAAAAGATAAAAAATTATTCAAATCTAAAATCTCAAATGGTATACGTATTTCACTAATTAATTATTAAAGACAGCTAATACATTATTAATTAATTCACAACTAAATGTACAAAAAATTAAACTCTAAGACACACCTTTTAAAGCTACTAAAAAATTAAATTCTTTCAAGATTGATGGAAGAGCTCTAAAAAAGATATATGCAAATCTTTGAATCTTATGCATTATACAAGATGGAAACTTTATTCAATGAAAAAGATTATATGTGCAGAGATATTCAAATATTAGGCATTGTGCATAATAGAATCTTTTGTGCACTAGAATGAAAATATACCAGTATATTTTTTAATCGAATTAGTTAAAATCTTTAATATTATAGAAGTGCATAATTTTTTAAAAAATTGATCAAATTAAAATATTTAGGCTTATTATTGGTAATCTTAGAAATCTACATGGCCATTATAGTGGGGTAATTTTACAAAAAATATACTATTATAAAGATGTATGTTGTTGTTATAAGTAAAAAGTTGTTATAGAGAGCTAATATAACATTAAAAATCAGTTCCGAGAAAAATATGATTTTCATAATAAATGACTGTTATATCAGGATGTATATAGTTGAGCACTAAGTCAATCAGATATGTATTCAGATTCAGATATCTTAATCTTAATACAACATCTTAATTCAGATGTGTATTCAGACTCAAATATCTTAACCATAGGAAAAACAAATGGGGTCTTACAATATAGCGGCTATGTCACGGGGTCGTTTTTCTGGCAACCCGTGAGGGCAGCAAGATAGCCTGACTACTACTCTTGCTTCAGCCCTAAACAACAAATAAGTACAATATCGTGCTTGGAACCAAGGCAATCACACAAACTCAAAGGTTGGAGGGATAACGAAATGAAAGACACACAAAGATGAGAGGTCAAGGCCAATTTTCGGAGTTTAATTCATATACAAAAGAAGGAAATACAAGTAAAGAGATCTGCCTTCTAACAAGGCCTAAGCATTCCTATATATGCAACAAATGTCCACAGGCAGCTAGGCTGGCTGTGGACCCGCCCAGCTGTGTTGCACTGCTTTGTGCTGGCTTCATGTGATCTCCATGAATGTGTTGGTAGCCCATGTGCCAATTGTCTTGTCCAACTGTTGTGCCCCAGTTCTTGCTGGAAGATAGATGCTCCCATGTTCACCCAGACAGGAAATGGCCCTACCCAGCTGTGCAGCACATGCCCTTGCTGGCAGTGAGATGCTTCCATGATTGTCCTGGCAAACTGTGATTCTGCCCAGTTGTGCTGCATGTGACTTTGCTGGCGGAATGTGGCCCCTAGGAGGGCCCGGACAGCCTGTCGCATTGTTGCCTCCATGTGCAAAGACCTTCTGGTCTTTGCCAGCCAAGTTTGGCTCGTTTTGCAGCCCTTTAGGCGGCAAATTTGGGCGAAAAATATGCGGGTGAGTGCACTCTCCCCCACTTGAAATGGCGACGACCGCGGTGCCACAACGGTTCAAATAATCGTGAACTTGATCTTTGAACAGCCATAACGCCTCATATTTTTCCCATGATACCTCCCCTGGCGGTTGCCCCTTCCAACGGACAAGAAATTGGGCGCTTGAATTGCCCCAACCTACTCCTTGTATCACCCGATGGTTGATAATGGCCTCAACTTTCTTGTCGACGATCGGAGGGGTTACGAAAATAGTTGGTTGCCTGGATTGTCTCCGCTCCCTATCACCCTTGTCTCTACAAGGTTCCTCTGATGGACTGACATGCATCGACCCAAGCAACTTTTTCGGTTGCTTCCTTGAATCCTCCAACTTTGGAGGTGCCATGTACGGACCCATGGCAGGAGGCTTCGCCCACGGTATGAAGTCCTTCCCCTTAAGGACTCGCTGTTCACAAGGAGTCAAGGCCCCGTCCACCTTGACCTCCTTAGTCTTTGTCCCGACTGCCAAAACCGTTGCTCCCTTCTCCTTGAAGCCATTCACGATTTGAATCGCGGACAACTGACTAACAACTTGCTGCACCTGAACTGTCGGTACCACACATGGACTCCTCGGGTCATAAATGTAGATCTTATTGAGATATGTCTCACTTCATCCCAATAGTCCATCCCCAATACCAGATCAAACGCATCCAGGGAAGCGACAAAGAAACTCACGTTTCTTGCCAAGCTCCTAAGTTGAACTGCATATTGCGGGCAACACCTTTCACGTTGGTGGGTTTGGCGTTTACCATCTTCAGCACCGAATTGCTAGGACCAAATGCAAAGCCAAGTGAATTAGCCTTTGCTTCGGGTACAAAGTTGTGTGTTGCGCCGGTGTCTACCATGATACGGACAGATTATCCATTCAATCGTGCATCCACGAACAATGATCCTGGCTCTCTTGATTGGCGCTCCTTGCCAATCACATCGTTGCCTAATGCGTGAACTAGTTTGACAATGTCATGCTTCCCTTGGGCGGCTTGATTCAAAGCAGGCTTTTTGGCTACTACTGCACCCAGTATCATGTTGCCAAGATGAGCTACGCACGGCGGTTGTTGAACTTCTGCTTCGACTTGTTCATCAGCTTGGATTCTTTCCTATGTTAGCCTCCGCTCTGCCGCAATTATGGCACCGAGTTTCTTCAAAGAAGGACAATCCTTGTAGCCATGACTAGTGTCCTTGCAGATGTAACAATCATTGGGGGGAGAAGCTTCCTTCTTCCTTTGGTTGTACCGGTCGTGCCAGTACGCCTTGTTGCCTTGTTCTCTGGAATCGCGGTCAGGGGCAGCAACTTGCTTGCCCTTGTCCCGATATCCATGGTCTTTATCCGGTTGGAAGTTGGTGTCCCTCGCCTTTGTGGCTTCTGTCATATAATCATTTAAGGACTCAGCCACCGCGATAGCTTCATCGACGTCTTGGACTTGACGTCGTTGTAGTTCCTGTCTGTCCCAGTCTTGAAGGCCATCAATGAAAGTGAATAGTAAGTCATCGCTTGCCAGGTTCGGAATCTGCAGGATGAGTTTAGTGAATTCCTTCACGTACTCACTTATGGAAGTTGTTTGCCTGAGCTCTCTCAACTTCCTACGTGCCTCATTGACAACGTTTTGGGGGTAGAACTGGCGCTTTTGTTCGAACTTGAATTGTTCCCAGCTCTTGATGGAGCAAGTTCCCTTCTCCATGTTGGCTTTCTTCCTTCTCCACCAAAGCATGGCGGTATCGGCAAGATACATCGTTGCTGCCCGGATCTTGGTAGCCTCATCAACGATGCAAAGGTGCTCAAAGTAGTCTTCCATCTTCCAGATGAAGTTCTCTACTTCTTGAGCGTCTCATTTGCCCATAAACTCCTTCGGTGTTGGGCCCTCGATCTTGGTTTCGCGCACTGTTATATGTCCAGTGCCACCAGCTAACTTTACTGCCTTCAGTTGCTGCTTTAGGGACTCAATTTCCCCGTGCAATGCCGATACAACCTTGGTCGGCTTAAGCTCAAGGTTGGTCAGTCCTTCCTTGTGCTCATAAATCGATTGATCTATCGTTTCTTTGACTTCATCAAGTCCATCTAGAGTAGTAGACTCAAGCGAGCGGAAGTTGTGTTCAACATCTCCCGTGTGCCGATTTAAAGCATCTAAACCAGCTTCTATGAGATCCATTCTCACGCTTAAGAGATTTGAGGTAGAAGCCTCACAATCTTCACCACGGCTAACCTGTTGTGGGGGCAGCACTAAAGCTGGTGCCTCACTTGTTACGACTATAGCAGGATCTCGCACTTTGCTTGTTCCTCTCTTCTTTGGTTTCTGCCGTTTTGTTGGTGACTCGTCTCTTCCAAGAATGTTTTCTAAATTAACGTTATCTCCATCAGTTGCCATGGTCGATTAACCTCGCTCTGATACCAGTTGTCACGGGGTCGTTTTTTTGGCAACCCGTGAGGGCAGCAAGATAGCCTGACTACTACTCTTGCTTCAGCCTTAAACAACAAATAAGTACAATATCGTGCTTGGAACCAAGGCAATCACACAAACTCAAAGGTTGGAGGGATAACGAAATGTAAGACATACAAAGATGAGAGGTCAAGGCCAATTTTCGGAGTTTAATTCATATACAAAAGAAGGAAATACAAGTAAAGAGATCTGCCTTCTAACAAGGCCTAAGCATTCCTATATATACAACAAATGTCCACAGGCAGCTAGGCTGGCTGTGGACCTGCCCAGCTGTGTTGCACTGCTTTGTGCTGGCTTCATGTGATCTCCATGAATGTGTTGGCAGCCCATGTGCCAATTGTCTTGTCCAACTGTTGTGCCCCAGTTCTTGCTGGAAGATAGATGCTCCCATGTTCACCCAGACAGGAAATGGCCCTACCCAGCTGTGCAGCACATGCCGTTGCTGGCAGTGAGATGCTTTCATGATTGTCCTGGCAGACTGTGATCCTGCCCAGTTGTGTTGCATGTGACTTTGCTGGCAGAATGTGGCCCCCAGGAGGGTTCGGACAGCCTGTCGTATTGTTGCCTCCATGTGCAAAGACCTTCTGGTCTTTGCCAGCCAAGTTTGGCTCGTTTTGCAGCCCTTTAGGCGGCAAATTTGGGCGAAAAATAAGCGGGTCGGTGCAGGCTAGCTGTTTATAAAACTTTATTTTCCAAAAGATCTTAAATGGTCACTGCAGAAGCAAAATATAACTGGCAAAATAGTATGTATACCTTGTGTAATTTTTTCATGTTTCATTTTTCTTTTGATTTCGTATTCTCTTGTAACTCTCTTTTGTTTTGTAACTCAGAATTTTGTGACTTATTAGAGAGAGAGAGGGGGAGCTTTGGGAATAAGTGAGGTTTTCTCAAATGGGTAGGGAGAGTGGTCATGTAAAACATATCTGCCCAGTCTAATTTTTGCTCTTCAGAAAAAACAAAGTTTTGTCCATATCCTTCAACATCCCCTTCTACTTGCTCAAACTTCTTCTCTTCCAGTGGTAGATCGAAAAATGCTCGGATTTCCGACTTCACTTTCTCCACTAATGATGAGCTCACTCCATGATTCACCAACTGCAAGAAAGATTGTTAAATTTTGTTGTAACATAACTAACTATATTATGTATAAATAATTTATCCAGATAACCAAACAAGATTATGCTTATTTGATCATTGAAATATATGTACCTGGAAAAATCCCCATTCTTTGCAAGCAAAATGAAGCCTCTGAAGCTCTGAACCATCATTTCCAATTGCGAGCAGTTTTTCCATGTCAATGACTGGAACTTGAGGCAATATGGAAGAGGAATTGGATGTCAAAACAGGCGTTTCGATATCATCACGAATATATCGTGGCGGAACGGCTAGTTGTTGCTTTGCCAGCTCTTGAACTCTAGGTACTTTCAAACTGCTACCTATCTTTCTCGAGCTTGCAGCTTCTTCCATCAATTAATGAGGTTTTTTCTAAGAGAACTTGTTTCATATAGATAGTAAACGTATAGAGGTCGATCTGAAATTGTAAGTGTGCTCGTAAAATATATACACATGTTGATACTGCATTGACCCTGTTGAGTTCCTTCTTTTTTAAGAATGGTAACAATATTATATATGTACAAAGGATTGTTCTAGGCCATCTTTACAGTTGACAATATTATATACTTAGCTTTTTCCTAGCTCCTACTACAGAAATTCTTTAAATTTTTGCCGGCGTTAATAGACAATGACAAATTGAGGTAGTGATACGTGATCCAAAGAAAGAAAACAATTTTTTGTAGTTTTCAAAAAATTCTAGTTGACATCTTCACAACTAGGTTACTTGCCAACTTTCAAAAACCATTTGCAGCATAATACCACTCCAATTTCCAAACCATGAAGCGGCACTACAAATAAATCTACCAGTGCAACACTCAATTCTCCGGCAAAATTGTCTTAGATTTTTGTTACTCTGGATCAAATTCCTTGTTTGAAAATTAAAACAGTTAGAAATTGAAAATCCAAACATGACAGATATTGTTCATAACAAGGAATGCAATTTCATCATACATAGAGTCAGTCACTTAAATAACTACTCTAAAAGTAAACGAAAAGATTATTCCAAATCTAAGCACTCTATATATTTATACTACTCTGTTTCCATTTGCGCAAATCTCAAAATGTTTGGCATTATACAACTTGCAATATTTTATAACAACTTTTAAATTTATATACTATTCAAAATTTAATACTGCAATGCTTCTCAATCAAACTGACTGTTCGACTATTGTTTTAATATTTTCTTCCATCACGCCAATATAATACAACAGTCAAATTAATTTTTCTACTTTATTACAGTCATCAAAGAGTGAAACTCCAAATTACAATAGCAAGAGTAACTTGTAAAAATATTTCACGGGATATAGATAAGCTAATATCCAACTAAAGTACCAAATGCTGCCTAGGATTCGTCATCCCTCGTCTCTACCTTCATGAAATCAACATATGATTTTCCTTCAAGTTTTCGCGCAAAAAAGTCCTTAATATATTTTTCCACGGGAACTCTTCGGAAAACTGCTGGATTATTTGGTCCAATAAGACTGTGTGCAGGTCCTAGTTCGGAGTCAAGGTTGGCGGTATAGAATGTTGCAACAGATAGCCTCACTTCGTTTGAATTTACAACTGCTCTGTGCTCAACGCTCCTATAAACACCATTGCTCACTATCTGCCAAGTCAAATAATACATTTACACAAAATTATAACTTGCTATCACTATGTTACCATCCTTTGAAAAATCAGTTACTCAAGAAGGAAATTCTTATTTACCTCCATCATGTCGCCAATATTCACAATCAACGCATTTGGGAGTGGTTTTACAGGCACCCAGATACCATCTTTCCGGACTTGGAGGCCTTCAGTTTCATTTAGCTGAAAAAGGATGGTAAGGGCACCGGCATCAGAATGAGGGCTGAAGCCAATGGTCTTATCTGGCTCAGGACAAGGAGGATAATAATTCACCCTTATTGACTGCATACCATCACCGAATAGATCTCTCATTTCCTTTTCATCCATCCTTAAAGTCTGCGCCAGTTGACAAAGGATGATTATTGCTAGGCTCTTGATTTCTTTGCAGTATGCTTCCATTATGTCCCTGCATCTCCAGAGTAGCATAGCCATAACCATGTTGCAACTTTTACCACATCTAAATCAAATTTATGATCTAAACCGTAGCACCACAATGTTAACACATCCTTCCATGCGATAGAAAAATCAGCTTTAAGATTATCGGCGGAGTGTGTTAGAATAATCTTATATCTAACCATAAGTATATTAGAGTTTAGTTCTATGCTGACAGTATACAAATATTACACATTCAGGTTACTTTAAAGTTTTAAGGTAATTACAAGTAAATCCCTATGATAGACATCGATTCATAACTTGGTAACTTTATGGCTATCAATGCATTGTCCATATCAAGAGACGTTCCAAATACTATTCAAAGGGATCTTGGTCCCTCCTCCACTACAACAATGCGTAAAGTATCAATCATATTATATAAAACATTTAGAGAGTAGTAGAGTGAAGATCAATTCACACGCACTCAGAATACAAGTTCTACGAAAGAGTATATAATAATAAGTTCGGTTATTCTCAAGCAACATTAAGGCACAAGAATATTATGACTCAAGTTACATATTCGGCCTTCGCATTTTGTGTTTGTAAATTATTAACTTACAGATCTTACAACCTATTTTCTTACAGGTCCCAGGAGGATAAAAGAAAGGCACCTTACTCCTGTTCAAGAATGGTCCAACCGTTTAAGGGATTTGAACTTTTTCCCTTTATTATATTAAGACCTCAGTAGAAAGATGGAGAGGAAAGATCCGGCACCTGAGCTTTAAAGGCAACTTTTGAAACAAGTTCCGGATATGCGGGGGAAGAGTGGTTATGCCAAACATATCGCTCCAATCAAGCTTTTGCTCCTCTGATACAACATTTAGCTGCCCAAACCCCTCATAGCTGTCTTCGTGTTGCCATAGCTTCTTCTTTTCTGCCATTGGAAGTTTGAACAATTCTGTGACCTCTCTCTTGAAGTCCTCCAGTGTTGAAGGTGTCAGTCCGTGGTTTATAACCTAACTTCAACAAATAAATGCTCGGAAATTTTACAACCTTTACACAGTTAAAGCTTAGCTCTACCAGAAACAAAGTCAAAATGAGAAGGAAGGGAGCATGGAGTCTTATGCATTTTAGACTCCATTATTGTGATATTATGCTTAATCCTTGAGAAGTTGAATAGAAGTCCCCATTAAGGAAAAGGGAAAAGGGAAAAGTTGAAGATGAGTGTTACGGTCCAAGTTTCATTGCATTTAGACTCCACTACTATGATATTATGCTTAATCCTTGAGAAGCTGAATAGAAGTCCCTTTGGGGAAATGAGAAAAGTTGAAGATAAGTGTTACGCTCCAAGTTTTTATCATGTCTGGGATGTTGAACTCGAGCAAAATAGATGAAAATTATGTTAAGAATCTTAATAGAAAAGTGGAAAAGGACTGAATGCAACTAAAAAAATTATATTGATGTCAAGAAAGTGTACTTAATATTTGTCATAAAATTAAAAATATTTTAGGCTTGTTTGTCCTGTAATTAATGAAAAAGCAATAATTTCAAAACTAATACAATACGATAAATATTGTAGTAAAATCTATATTTTAATAGCTTGATGGATTAGAATTCTTGAAACTAGTTAGAGTTGCATATTACTAGTGTTGAATATATTAAAAGGCTTTAAATTTATAAAATACCACATAGTTGAGACAGAAAAGGTAATATCAGTTTCACTGATTGACAAAGGAAAGTATTTTTACTCAGGTTTTAGGAACTAAGAGAAAATCCAAATCAGTATTTTTACAAACCCCACAAGCCTCAATTTATGGATACAAGAGGCCGCGAAAAGCTAAGAATAATTGAATAAGTAAACAACTTAATTATTAGGAAGGGCAAACCTGGAGGAAACCCCATTCTTGACAGAATAAGTAAACAACTTAATTATTAGGAAGGGCAAACCTGGAGGAAACCCCATTCTTGACAAGCTGAGTGAAGCTTTTGAAGCTCGGAATCCATGGAATCCCCTGAAATCAATTTTTTAAGATCGATAACAGGGACAGCAGGAACCACTGCTCCGTCAGATATGACCAGAGATTCTTGTTCTGGGCGGACATACCTGGCTGGAATCTTGGTTAGGTGCTCTGTGGCAAGCTCTTGAACACTTGGCACTAACAGAGATTTCCCAAAGTTCACTACGGCCAGTGGTGACTCCATTGGCTCACACAATCCTGTTGAGCTCTTGGAAACTTGAATGTATTAATGTGTCAATGAAAACAAACAGCCAAAACCAAATCTGCAGAATCCTTTTAGCTATAGATTCCATTTAGCTTTGGGTTTATCAATTTCTTCCAAGGCCATTTATTTATTAAGTAATTATAAATATAATATATGTCTTTGGAATCATCATCAACTACCAGTTTTACATAGCCATCGGTGTACCGCAACTCTATTTGATTCTCTAAAACAATGAGAATTGGAAGTCTTGTACGTAATCACATGTAAGAAAACAATTTCTATAGTTCTCAAATTTCCTCCGAGAAATTCTTCAGTGTTCGTTGCCATCTTCACAATTAGGTTCGAATTTCACATGTACCTGCAACTATCAAAACCATTGGCAGCATACCACTGTGAACCATGAAGCAACGTTAAAGCCTCTGCCTCCATATATGTTTTCAGGCAAAGAGAACTACAATGCAAGACTGAATGCTCCGGCAGTATTATCTTAGATTTATGTTAAAATATAAGTCAAAGTCGTCATATAATGAAACAAAGAGTATAATATTTTTCTTCTTCTTTATTACTGTTATCAAACAGTGGAACTCCAAATTACAATAGCAACAGTAACTTGTAAGAATATTTCACTGGATATAAATAAGCTAATAACCAACCAAAATATCAACTGCTACCTAGGATTTGTCATCCCTCACCTCTTCCTTCATGAAATCAATGTACGATTTTCCATCAATTTTTCGTGCAAAAAAATCCTTGAAATATTTTTCCACGGGAACTCTTCGGAAAATTGCTGGACTACTTGGTCCAATGAGGCTGTGTGCAGGTCCCAATTCGGAGTCAAGGTTGGAGCTATAGAATGTTGCAACAGATAGCCTCTCTTTGTTTGAGTTTACAACTGCTCTGTGCTCAATGCTCCTATAAACACCATTGCTCACTATCTGCCAAGTCAAACAACACATGCACAGAATTAAAACTTATACTTTCACTAATATCCTTTTTGAAAATGAGCTCTTTATTTCCAAAGATTATAAGATTCTACATCCAAGTAAACAGATTAGTAATATTTATTATATTTAATCGACATGTCTTGAGCTGATTCCAATTTGTATGACTTCCAATTTGTTCAAAACGGGAAAGTTTTTGACTTAATCAAATAAAATGAAGATGTTAAGACTGCCCTACTTCACCTCCCTCAAAAGCATCTTCTTCTCTTTGCAGAGAACGGGTAAATACTTTAAATCATGTGTAATTTTATTAACTCGCAAAACCAATGGTCTGAATTAAGTCCTTTCAAGATTTTAAAAGAGTTAATATATGAAGCATGATAACACGGTGAATAAACCAAAGTTAACCAATAGATTGCACACCAAAATTGCAATTCACTACGTTACCAACCTTTGAGAAATTGGTTACTCAACAAGAATGTTTTTATTTACCTCCATAATATCGCCAATATTCACAATTAAAGCATTTGGGAGGGGTTTTATAGGCACCCAAATGCCGTCTTTTCGAACTTGGAGGCCTTCCGTTTCATTTAGCTGGAAAAGGATTGTGAGAGCATCAGCATCAGAATGAGGACTGAAGCCAATGGTTTTGTCTGGCTCAGGGCAAGGAGGATAATAATTCATCCTTATTGACTGCACACCATCGCTGAATAGCTCTCTCATTTCCTTTTCATCCATGCTTAAAGCCTTTGCCAATTGACTTAGGATGATCATTGCTAGGCTCTTGATTTCTTTGCAGTATGCTTCCATGATATCCCTGCATTTTGGAATTATCAACCATGATAACCTTGAACCTATACAACCTTCGAACCACATTTATCATCTAAAAAATAGTAACACAATGTTTGCATTCCACATGACAGAAAGATGAGTACCAAGATTACATGCAGATTGTGTTAGAATCATATCTTATATCTAACCATTAGTATACTAACAAAATACGCATAAAAGTAAATAAGTACAGAATAGGATAGGACATAACCATTCGGCAAAAATAACTTCTAAGTAACGAAAGCTTCAAATCTTAATACACCACTTTTCAGATGGTGTTTTTTCTGAAAGTGTGGGACACTTAGAGCCCGTTTGGACATAAAAAATATTTCACTTTTTTCCGAAATCAGTGGCCATAAAATTTTCAATTTTCACTTGAAGATGAATTTTGGAATTTTTCGAAAATTTGAAAAACTCCAAAAAGCTATTTTTCAAAATTCACTCAAATCACTCACAAAACTTCAAAACAACCCAAAATAATACATGTCCAGACACAACTCTAATTTTCAAATACCATTTTCACTTGAAAATATTTTTCACTTTTTTTTGAAATTTTACAATTCTTATGTCCAAACGCCCACTTAATATGTTTTTTAAATACAAATGTATTTATCTCTTTGCATCTTCCCTTCAAAGATGTAACTCCAGTAAACATATGCTTTATTATACATCAGATATAAGTGAAATAAGACATGGATGTGTTAACGGTTTATGGGTATTGCAGTGTACACACGACTTCGGGGTAGAGGCCTACCTGAGGTTTGAGGGCAATTTTTGGAACAAGTCCATTTGCCGGATATGAGGGGGAAGAGTAGTTAAGTAAAACATATCACTCCAATCAAGTTTCTGCTCATCTGATACAACAAATAGCTGCCCAAATCCTTCATGGTTGTCTTCCTGTTGCCATAGCTTCTTCTTTTCTTCCATTGGGAGTCTGAACAATTGGATAACCTCTCTCTTGAAGTTCTCCAGTATTGAAGGTGTCACTCCATGGTTTATAACCTACATTTTCAAGAGAAGCGGTAAAAATGTATTGATCAACCAATAAATGAGAAGGAAGAAAACATGGAATCTTATGCATTTCAGATTCTATTACTGTGATATTACGCTTCATTCCTGAGAAAATTGTAACACTCCGTAAATTCGGACTAGGTGTGGACATGTTAAATGAGTATTAAGATGGCATCTTAGACATATGAAGTCCTATCGGGATGAGTATGGGTGAAAAGAGTTGTTTTGGAATCAAGACGGAGAGTGCGGTGTATAAGATTCGATAAAATCGACTAAGTTTATGGAAGGTCTGTCTTCTAGAAGGATTTCGTAAATATCAGTTGGGAATTTGGGAAAACGTAAAACATAAAAATTGTAGCCGTTTGAAATATCTTTCCAACTATATATTGTGGAGCCCGAACAGATTTCTGAGCAAAATGTTATGTGCGTTTTACTGGACAATGCGCAGTATGCGCGCCTAGATGGTCTCGTGCGTGGCCGCGCACTTGTGGCAGTGCTGCTGCCCTGCTGCGCGTCCAGGTGCGCGGTTGGGCCTTCAGGTGCGCGGGAGTGCACCCGGGGGTCATTTTTAAATCCCTACTTCGTCCCCCACACCCCAAAACACAAAAACTTGCTCTAGAAAGGGAAGCTCTCAAGAACCTAACTCATTCAAGGTCCCTCCACCATCTAAGGTAAGTTCTAATGGTGATTCTAAGGTAATTTCAATTCTCCAACATCTTATTAACATGGGTAAACCCTCCAAATCATTAGATATTCGATTGGGAGATCAGTTTTGAGAGACAAAACCCTAAAACTCGAATTCAAGAAGATTGAACGTCAAGAAGGTAATATCTTCACCCTCTAATTGATTATAGCATTGGATTAATGATTATAGACTACAAGTTCATGAGATATGGGTTGATGGTTTTGATAGAAAAGCATGAACGATTATAGGTTTGGGTTGTTGATTGTTGATTATTTATTAAGGGTATTTTTTATCTTATGGGTGATGAAGAATGGTATTGATTATAGCAAATTGAGATTTTAGAATTTATCTATGAGCAAGAGAATGGGTTGTTGGGTGTAGAAACACCATTAATAAGGGTTATGAAGCTTTATGCCCACCAAGTGTTTGAGAAAATGCCTAAGTGACCAAAACATGAGTATTATAGCTAATATGGAATCCCTTTGACTTGTAGTGATATAGATTAAAGTTGGAAGGGTTGGCGAATGTTGTATTACACTCAAGAGCAGGAAGTTAAGGTATGTGAGGCTAACTCTCTATGTTTGGGAATGTTAATGATTCTCCTTACACTACGTTTCTTTTACGACATTACTAATTGCCTCAGAAGTATAGTTAAGCCTAGCTCCTTGAATAGTTACAGAACTTCTATTATCTAGCTTCATAACTCGTTCATGACTTTTATTCCGAACGTTGTGAGCTCAGTGCGTAATCAATATAGACTTGTGTTTGATGCCCATGAGTCTCAGTCTTGATTACTCAGCATGTCATCAACAGTTGAAGTTTTAGTTTTCATAATCAGTTCATGAATACATGTCTCAGTCTAGCTCTATTCAGCATTTAAGTATCATGTAACTCAGTATGGTTCAATATTTCTGTATCATGTATTTCAGTATGATTCTCAATTCCTGATTTTTAATCCCTAAATGTTGAACACCTGTATTTGGGCCTGAGGCCGTAGTTTATGCTTTGTGCATCTTTGGGCCTAAGGCCGCAGTTTATGCTTTATGCATCTTTGGGCTTGAGGCCGCAGTTTATGCTTTATGCATCTTTCGGCATGAGGCCGCAGTTATGTATACGTATACTTGGGCCCGAGGCCGCAGTTTGTGCACAGATATATTGGGCCTGAGGCCGCAGTTTAATATACAGATAAACAGGTTGTTCATCATTCAGAAGAGGGAATATCCTTACTTCCTTTGTTCAGTTTCAGTTATCAGTTATCATTTCAGTTATCAGTTATCATTTCAGTTTCAGTTTCAACAATTATCATTTCAGTTGTCAATTATCAATTCTCAGTTATCAGCTCAGTATCAGTTCCAGCATTTAAAGTTCTTTCTTTCAGTTGCATTACATACCAGTGCAATTCAAATGTCCCGGGGCCTCCATCTCACGATGCAGGTAATGATTTACAGGTTGACGATTCAGAGCGCTAGGATTCTCGTACCAGCTATTTGGCAAGCCCCAGTTCTTTCGGGGCATTACCATTACTTTATAGTCTTTCAGTATTTACGGACAGTCAGTGTTCTAGTACTTCATTAGAAGCTTTATAGACTAGAGTAACAGTTAGACATAGTCGCAAGCTTTTCATGTTAAGCAATGTTTGCTACATATATGTTCCAGAATTATATTAGTGTTTCCGCCTTTTGATTTATATCATTTAGACTTTCAGTATATCAACATGTGCTAGTTTATCTTACGCATTCAGTATGTTATGATATCACATGTTGATTCAGCCAACCAGTTGGTTCGCTTGGTCACATGTAGTCAGGCACCAGATGCCGTGTTACGTCTAGGCCCAGGTTCGGGGCGTGACAAAAATGAATATATAAGTCTCTTCCAAAAAAGGAAAAAAGGAAAAGGAAAAGTTGACTCTAATGGAGATCCAATTGAAGTATAATCAAGCGCTATCCTAAATCATAGTCCCAAATAGAGAGATAAATTTAGACCTTTTTCCCGAAATATTTTAGTACAATACAATAAATTGTACTAAGAGTTAAATTCTAATTTGCTAAGTGAATTTATAATTTTAAAACTAGATAGAGTTGAGCATTATTACTGCCAAAGATTTTAGAAAGCTTTAAATTGAAAAATAAATACCACATAGATTGAGACAAAAATAAAGTACACTATCAGTTTCAGTGGCTGACAAAGCAAAGGAGTTTTAATTCATTTTAATTTTATAAGGGTTCAGGGTTTAGGAACTAAGAAAGGAAACTCCTAATCAAAAAGTTTACAACCCCATAAGCCCCAATTTATGAATATAAAGAAACCATGGAAAGCAAAGAATAATTGAATAATTAAACAAATTATGAATGAAAATTAAACCTGGAGGAAACCCCATTGTTGGCAGGTTGAGTGAAGTTTTTGAAGCTCAGAATCCATGGAATCCCCAGATATCAACTTTTTCAGATCGATGACTGGGACTATAGGACCCACCGCTTCGTCGGATATGGCCTGAGATTCCTGTTCTGGACGTACATACCTGGCCGGAATATTAGTAAGGTGCTCTTTGGCAAGCTCTTGAACACTTGGAACCAACAGAGATTTCCCAAAGTTCACCACTTCCGGCGGCGACTCATCCATTGCCNTATATATATATAAAGTGGAACCACCAAACCTCCAGCGGGAATCTCTAGGTAAACGTTTTATTTTGGAAAAAATAATTAAGGAGGGGTTCCAACTTCCAAGTTGTAATTGAAATTGAAAGAGGATAGATACTATCCACATTACATGGCAAAAATAAACTTACTCTGTAAGCAGTGATCAATATAATAAGAAGCACAATCTTGCCTAGCAAAATTGTACTAAAGCTAATCGATATGAAGCTCTCAAGATTGAAAGTTTAATTGTCTGCGTACTAGCCAGTTAGCTACAAGTTTTACATCGCCACCGGACTCTGTTTGATCCTGTAGAACACTTAGAAATGGAGGTCGCGTACGTCATCCAAGTTAAAAAAGAACAATTTTTATAGTTTTCAAAAATTTCGGGGAATTGTCCGCTGCCTCGATGCCATCTTCACAACTAGGGCATTCGATTTTCACATATACCTGCGAATTTTAAAAATCGATTTGCAGCATACTATTCCAAAACATGAAGCAACTCTAGAGCTTCTGCCTCCATATTTAATTTCCAGTAAAGAAGACTACCATGCAAGATTCTGAATTCTCCCGCCCTAGGATTAGCCATTTAGCGCGTGAACAATATAACATGGAAATTAATATTGAGTAAACTAGGAACAGGGAAGGATCTAATTTTGTATCATGTTAAGCATTTCGGCAATGAGTTCTGTCACTTCTTGCACTGATGTTTGAATGTTCGTACAGAGAATTATTCTCTTGTTTGCAGGCTGCAGCTGAAAAATTGATTGCTTTACTATTGGCATGAGGAGTGCTTTGCTAGCGGTTTATTGGAGAAATTGGCTGCAGTTGGCAATTTTGGTTTGTTTTGTTATCTATCATACTTATCTGAATATATTTCATTAAAGGATAAATGCACCAGCAAAAGCAGTAAACCATGGGATCCTTGCCACAGTTTTCTTGTCTGACCGTATCTCTGGGACATGTGGAGATGGATATGCTTAACTGGAACGTTGAAATCAAAGACTCATGCGATTGAGTCCATCTTTCTCTACTTAGTATATCACAAGCTGGAATACTTCACATATATGCAGTTAAATACATTATTGCACTATGAACAAATAAAGGGTGGGATAAAAACTGATGTATTTACACATAGAGCAGTCTACTATGGACAACAGTTAAGGAACAAGAAAAGTTCCACAAAAATGTGCGGAGGCACCGCCTCTAGCACGAGATCTCCCCATCTTCCCAGTCTCCATTCAATATTTCATCTTCATCATCATTTAAGTAATCCTCTTTGATGCATAAGCCAAGCCTTTCCAGAGGGTTGTCCCCCAATATGATAGTGAATCCATCTCCATTACCAGTTAGATTCTCAGCATCTGAGCAGCATTTACATAGTTTTTCTAGATCTCTTAGTATCTTCAAATTGTCTTCAAAATCAACGGTCCTTTCCATCTGTTCAGGCAGAAAAAAGATTTTCAGTACTTGAGGACTACAATTAGGATAAAGAAAATGTCATTCAGTTATTCTAATCGGTTCCGGGATATATTTTCTTCATTTGTTATTTCTACTCTCGCTTCATCCTTACTTTTTTTTCTGGAAAAAGGGGGTTATTGGTGGTTGGGGAGGGATGTGTAAAGAGTGGGTTGGGCGCGGAGGGGAGGAGGGATAGCTTCAAAAGTAACAGCAGACCTGCTGTAGAGCAATCCGGGCAGCTTCCCGTTGTCTCTCCCGCTGCATCTTTAAATCAGACTCTGCCTTCCTTCGAGAGGCAACTTCCGCAGCTTTAAGTTCTGCCTCAATGCGGGCTTTCTCTGCACACACCCAATGTTCTGTTAGAGAAACAGCACACATAAAATAAAGAAAACCATGTACAGTTAACTTGAGATGTAACCACTTAATACAGATACTTATTGAGTAGACAGCCTCAAAAGAGATATAATGAAAAAAGGCCATCAACTACTTCAGCCTCACAACACTAGATTCATTCCAAGGTAGGTGTGTGCATTACAAATAACCAAACCATAAAAATTTTGATTATTTGATTTGATTGTTCCGTTATATTTTTTGGTTTGGTTTCAGATGAATTTAAAACCAAAAAACCGCAGTGGCTTTCTATTTTTCTTTAGCATTTAAATATCTCACGTTCTTAGAATTACAGTGTTATCAAAGGCGAAAAGCGCAAAAAAGCTCTAAGGTCTATTGGGGCTTTAAGCGCAAATAAAGCGTGAGCTTTAATGAAGAAAAGCACAACCGGAGAAAAACTATAAATATGTATGTGTAGTCTAAGACTAATATCTGTAAGCGTGAATACAAAATATGTGGACAAAGAATTTGAAGAAAATTTATGATAAAGTGAAATATAAATTTGTTAGTGTCGCCTCTTCAGGATTACGCTTATTGGCAAGGAAAAGTATGTCTTAGAACGAAGCGCCCGCTAAGTGAGGCGAAGCGCTCAACTTGTTTTGAGCCTCATTTCAGGGCTTAAGCGCGCCTTTGATAACAAAGCTTAGAAAGTTAGGATTTTGCAACTTCACTTAAGCTTCACAAAAACTTCCTGCTTTCTCGGTCTTTCTAGTTTCTCACTTTTACAACCAAAGGGCACTAAACATTTGGATTCGAAGCATGTGACTCGCGCAAAAGATAACTTAATGGATCATCAGATAGTATCTATTTGCTTTATCTGTCACTTTGTATTGAGCATCAAGACTTTTCAGTTGTTTAATATGTCATTTTTGTGAGTGAAATTAACCATCCTAAGTGAGGCGAAGCGCTCAACTTGTTTTGAGCCTCATTTCAGGGCTTAAGCGCGCGCGCGCTTAAAATAACAAAGCTTAGAAAGTTAGGATTTTGCAACTTCACTTAAGCTTCACAAAAACTTCCTGCTTTCTCGGTCTTTCTAGTTTCTCACTCTTACAACCAAAGGGCACTAAACATTTGGATTCGAAGCATGTGACTCGCGCAAAAGATAACTTAATGGATCATCAGATAGTATCTATTTGCTTTATCTGTCACTTTTTATTGAGCATCAAGACTTTTCAGTTGTTTAATATGTCATTTTTGTGAGTGAAATTAACCATCCTGATGCTATTGTTTCCTATTTGTCATAGTGAGAGCTTTAGAACAAACATTTCAGTATATAAGATTACTTTTGTGTTATGTGTTTGTACGATAAATGTTAGTTTAAGTTTCTCTTCCCTCAGAAAGATTTTGTGGAAAAAAATCTACATTTTGTTGTTTATGAAACTATCTCTATCTGCAGAAAACATGCTAAAATCTAGATATGAGCCCACAGGGATTAGCTCACTTGGCAAAGGTTGAGAGATTTGAGGCTTAGGTCACAAGTTCGATCCCTAAGCCAAACAAACTAAGCCTAGTATTTAAACGGAGAAAGATAGAGAGGCCAGCCCATCATCTCCGAGTTTCGGAGGCTGCAGTTGGTCCTAAGTTGGCTCCAGATTTCTCAGGATAAAAAATAAGAAATGCTTAAGATCTAATTTAGTTTGAAATTACTAATGTCCATTTAATATACCGATGCGATATGTTGAAAGTTTGCAATACACATTAATTCGCTAAATCTCATAGCTAATGAAGAGGAGAAGGCAACAAATATAAAACTCTGAAAAAGCAATCCAGGATAAAACAAACCGAGAAGGAAAAAATCCAATCAACCTGAGCTTACTTTGGTTTGAATTGGTTTTTTAAATCAAATCCAAACACTACAAGACCAAACAGGAAAAACTTAATACACGCCTTAGAGGACTTGTTTTGGGCTCAGATAGTTTGAAGCTTCTGTCCATTCAGCTACTATAGCCTATTTTAATCCAGGGCACTCTAGAAGATTAATTAACATCACATTAAGAGCTTTCTAGAATCCATGGCAGGACTAGAAATGGTGACAGTGCATAAAGCATCAGTTGGCTATTAAAAAAGTTAATGAAAATATCCTTCTGCCTTATATAATTTTGTTTTGTTTTATAAGTAAGCAATCCTCTATTTTATCTGCATCAATATTGATAACAAGCCAGATAGAGATTGTGATTCCATGTTAGTGTATTGAAATTACTTAAGAGATTTTTTATATAAGTAAAATTGCTTGAGTTTATTATCCCAATTCCATTTGAGCTACTACCATAAGAAGAAGTCAATCAATCAATCACAACATAAACCATCTTACCTTCGATTATAAAAATAAATAAATAAAACCATCTTACCTTCAAGCTGCTGCTTTTCTAGTTGGGCTCTTTCCTGCTGCATTCTATGCAGATCAGCCTTATCACCCTGATTCAGCAATAAACAGCTGTCTCAAACCAAACAACTTAAATAGTGTATGTTATATGTTCTCTCAAGAGGAAAAGGCAAGGAATTACATCAACTGGAAGCGATTTCTGTTTCGCTTTGATGATGGTGTCAGCAAATCGGCTCTTCAGCATTGCAGCACGTAGTGCTTTAGTCGGGGAAAGATCAATGTTCATTAGAGGATCCCAGCCTATTTCCAGAAAATAGTCATCAGCAGATTAGGCTTCAGTTCATTGGCCTTCTCGGGTACAAAAAGAAAAAATGATAGAAAGAGTGCAAGCAACATACTCACCTTCACCATATGTAGTAGTGGAAGCACAGGTTGATCTACTTGGACTGGAACAAGAATTTTCTTCATAAAGTACTCCTAGACCACCTGCATATTGTCGGCAACAGCATGTCAGTAAGAAGATTAATATTTTTTTATGCATGCTATTGAACAAATATAAGAGTGTTTTGCAATCACCATGAGAGTTCAGATCAGTTCTACATGAAGCTGATGCCAAGGAGTTTGTCACCTCTCTGTCCTGAAAATGCATACAGGGTGTCAGTTGCCAGGAAAGGAATGGCAAACGCCCTAAATCTATTCAAAGATATTTTTAACATCAAGACACCGACCCTTTTAGCAACACCCGAATGATCTTGTTCTAGCTTTCTTTCTGTAGGAAAATCTGAATCGCAAACAGAAGTACAACTCGTTTATTAGCAATTGAAGATTTGAGCTCCAAAGCGGCTGAAGAAAGAAGGGGGCAGAACAAACTTACTCCTGGGACGAGCATGGGTATCAACACCTTGAAGGTGGCAAGCAATAGTGTTTGCTTGTTGCTTGGTATTGGCAGAGCAAATAAAACCTGTGCTACTATCTGTGCCCAAAAAGACACATCTCCAATCAGCCCCTGGAAAAGATCCATAAGAGCAGAAATTTTATACCCGGCCTTTTCATACCTTTTTGGACAGTCTCCTGGGACGACAGATGCCCACCACTTTGTTTTACACTAGCGGGCTCTGCCTGTAAAAAAAGAGCACCAATTAGATAACATTTTAAGAGTTACAAAAAAAGATAACAGTTTAAAGTTTCCTTCGCAATAAACAGTTATTGTACCAGTTGAAGTTCAATCATGTGACTAAGATAAACGTCTTACCTTTTCTGTAGCTAAATTGGAATAAGCTCTAACCACCCTCTTCAATTCCAATAGTGTGTCATCATCATACTTATCTAGGTCCAGGCTAAGCTTCTCTTCTTTAAGACCCACCAACCCAAACTTTTGGAGAGCATTCTGCATTTTCTTAATTACATTTCCCCTAAGTAAATCAACAAGTTCTTTCTTCAGCTTTTGCTTCTCCTCCAAAGGCATTAGCCTGTTGCTCAGACCATTAGCATGAGGTGCAGATTTCTTAAAGGAAGTCTCCCTTGTATTCTTAAAGCCATTTCTTTTATCACTTGAAACACAATCCTGGCTGAATTTTTTGCTCTCAGATTTCCACTTTCCTTCCAGCAACTTCCACCTCTGATTAAAAATATTATCTAATCTATTAGCCATGAGATGAAAATCATTATTAGGAGGATTATACTTCATTGCATTTGCAAACGTCAACCTCACATCAGCGGCAAATGCATCAACATCGAAGTACACATTGCCATCCAATTTAGCTTTGACTGTCCCGAAATCCATTGGTCTTGTAATTATAGTGAAGTAGTCAGGAATATTATATTGGACTGGATCCACTGGTACAAGGAAGGGCCACCCACTAGGATGAGCCATTAAGCCTTTCAGAATGTTACAGCATTGTTGCTTTACATTCCGATCCATTTTCCGCCTTTTCTCTCTTTCATTGTCCAGCACTAACTCAGGTGCACGTTTATTAGAGTCAGATGGCATAGGTAGTCTCACCTTTATATTCATCTCAGAGCCTCCCACAGATTCAGCCCGCACCCCCTTGGAAGAAATTTTTATTTTCAGCTTCTTCGTTACCATGCTATCACAAACGTTCATGGTGGGCAACTCCAGGAGCTGAAGAGAACTGTTCACTTTCGGAGATTGAGCAGTAACCATTGAACATACAGACCCTGGAATATATAGAGTAACGGAAAGGAATTAAAAGGGAAACCAGACGGCAACTTTGATAGAAATTTTTGAGATACAACTTTGATACGAGTAGAAAGAAAACTTAAAAAATACAACACTCGCCCAGCAAAAAAAGAGATGATTAAAAAACCAAAAATGTCCTTGATATCAAGACTCAGTTTATTTCTTGCAAGTCACCAAAATCCCATGAGAGAGAGAGAGAGAGAGAGAGAGAGAGAGAACAAAACATAGAAATTGTTATATACTCCTAAAACAGGGACTTTAAAAAGTTAGCATAAGCTCTTAGTTAATGTACTACACTTATTTCATTATTAAGATCTTCAACATGATTTGATTAACCCCCACCCACCCCTAGTTACCAAATTCTTTTTTTTAAGCATGAAATTTAGATGGCAACTAAAGTGTATGATCTCATCATCAAACTAAGAACTGATCAATATTGATGGAAAATTTGATGGATGAATAATTTTTCCCCGAATTATAAAGTATACAGAAAAGTTGCCTAAAAGGGAAAAAACTGAAGGAGAAAAAAATAACTTTTTGAGAAATTAAAAAACAAAATTTCAGAGAGTTGAAGCAAAAGATGAATTTAAAAAAAAGAAAACATCCTTTATGTTCCCCCATGACTTATATACAAAATTCAAACAAAACTATAAATTCCAAAAACATATGAATAGTTTTCCCCAAATTAAACGCATGCATAAGGAAGGAAGTTGAACCAAATAACGAATTCTCAAAAGCATCATGCTTGTTTTTCCCCAAAGAAGCACAAGACAATGATTTCAAAACATAATCCCATAATCTTTCTGCCCCTAAAAATCACACAGAAAGAACCAACAGAGTTGAATCAAACCAAATCAGTTCACACAAAAAGACCTATGATTTTATTTATCCTACATCACACATAGAATCGACAAAATTGAACCTAAACGACAAATTCCCCCAAAACACAAAGACCACGATCAAGCAAAGAACTATGATATTCAACAAAAGAGAAAAAAGAAAAAAAGACCCACAATTTATTTAACCTAAATTCGCACAAAGAAACAAACTTCATACTGAATTACCTGAAATTCAAATCAAAACCCCATTCAAGCCGAAATCAGTTTTCTTCCGAAAGTTAAAAGTTCTTAACAACAGAACTAAGAGAAGAGAAGACGGGCTCTGAGAGCCCTCTCCCCGATGCAGCAGGTGAAAGTTTTGGGGGAGTAGAAGAAACAAACTGCTATGAGTAGAAGCGTGCTGTTTATAGAGAGAGAGTGATGAGCGAGCGAGCGAGTCTCTGAGGTTTTAGGGTTTTTATCAATTCTTCTTGCCCTTGTTTCCTTGTCTCCCTAGTATGAGCCGCCTTTGATATTAAAGGGAAAAAGACCCTTTAACCCTTTGAAGGAATTTGGAATATTCCTGCTTTTATTTATTTTATTTTATTTTGCTTGAGCCCCAAGTTTAGGTTTAATAGTGTTTACTTACTAAGTAATTAGTGAATGACATCAGTAAATTTAGAAATAAAATTAGTGCTAGTTCTAGCATATAAAAATTAATTCTTATAAAATTATAAATATTTTTGTTAGAATTAAATCTAAGATGAACTGTATTTTCTATTGTCCGCTTTTCGTTATAGATAATATTGAGGTTTTACTTTGTAATTATTTATGTGTTACTAGTTCTATCGTACGTGTGTTGCGCGTGTATTCTGTGTGTATTAATAAAAACGTGTATAAAATATAAAATAAGAATAAATTATGTGTAGAAGCAATTATGTCGAGATAGACGCAATAATCATTTAAATAGAAAATAAATATTATTGCATTGATGCTATAGTTTAATTTAAAGTAATTCATTATCGCCTGTAAAGACGGAGATTTTAGGTAAGTTAGTTATATAATATTTATAATTATAGATATTTTGTTGTATTAATGGTAGGTTATGTTGTTATTTATGTGTTTTCCTCTTTAAAATATTTAGGTAAGTATATTTGAATTTGAAATGTGTATCTATCTATTTATCTATATCTATATCTATATCTATATTAATATATAAGTATGAATACAATGTCGGTTTACGAAAATAACCTTGTAATATTAAGTATAATAACTTATAATAAAATGACATAACTGAAATTTTAGATATTAGCCTTATAATCCTATTAGTTTTAGGACATAATACTACACGTTATAATCCTACATGATTACCTTTAGGAATCATATTAGTATAATTACTTTCAGGCGATTTAATTCATATAAAATTGAACAAGTAAATATCTTTAGTTATGTAATCCTATTACTTTTAGGATATACTTCTTAAAAATTTCTATTACTAATTTAATTCGAAAACGTATTATAACGCCCTATTACTAATTCAATTTAAGAATGCATTATATTGTCCAAATCTATTTATAAAAATGAGAGCATATTTTATTATAAAAGCATAAATACAATATTAATATACCAAAATAACCCTAAAATATTAAGCGGAAGAACTCATAGGGAAATAACATAACTGCAATAACCTGTTTTTTTTACTACAATATCTTATTTGCATATTTTTAATATTTAAGATTTTAAAATTAATAAATTTTAATATATTAAATTCTTATTAAAAATATGTAGGAAAGTTTAATAAAATNTTCCTTATCTCACCGCGGGAGCCTTCACAATTTATTTTAAAGAAAATATTTTTTCCGAAATAGCGTCCCGCGTTTTAGCCATCCTTATCTCACCGCATGACTTCTAGTAGTTCCCTCTACTAGCCACGCGTATCAAGCCACTCTTATCTCATCGCATGCGTTTCAATACCCAGACCTTATACCACCGCATGTGTATCAATATCACAATATATCACAATTTGCACCTCATGTGCTCAAATAATTTAACTTGCCAAAATAATTCATCTAAAATATTGTTCCACAATAAAGAGTTCACGACTCATGTCAAAATAACTCAACAATAATATTTTTTCACAATAAAGAGCTCACGGCTCATGTCAAAATAATTCAACAATAATATTTTTTCACAATAAAGAGCCCACTGCTCCATCACAATGAGTACAAAAATCTTACAAAAAAGAGCTTACGGCTCATGTCAAAATAATTCTACAATAATATTTTTTCACAATAAAGAGCTCACTGCTCTATCACAATGAGTACGAAAATCTTACAAAAAAGAGCTCACGGCTCATGTCAAAATAATTCAACAATAATATTTTTTCACAATAAAGAGCTCAC